AGAACAAAGCCGCGAGTGGTGGTGTAGCCACAAGCCGCCAGTTATCGTCGCCTCGAACAAAGTCCGCCTCGTGATCCATCGTCGAGATCTTTAAATTTAAAGGCCTTGTTCTAACCATTACAAACGATTAAAAACAATGAAAAAAAAAACATAGAATGAAAAAAAAAAAGAATGAAGAAGAAGAAGAAAAAATTAAAAAAGTAAAAAAGATAGTTGAAGAAGAGATGAATTGTCAACGGTTTTCTCACCAATCGATCAGAACTTATCTTGAAAAGGCATGCTTAATATATATTTAATGGGAAATGCTAAAATCTCGGAACCATCCCGTTGAGATTTATAACTGTTAGATCATCATGTAACCGTCATGGATAGTTGATCTAACGGTTACCAATCTCGACGGAATGATTCCGTAACGGGACTGTAGAATCTCCCTATATTTAATAATAAAAAATTGGCAAAAAAATAAAAAGGACATTAAATGGGCTAAAATTGGGAACAAAAAGTTTAATTTTGACTTAATATTAAACAGAGTTATTAACGGAAACAATTTTTTATAAAGGATAAGCAGTGTACTTATTTCCTTATGATTGCATTTGAGCATTTTACAAGATGTGGATGGATGGATCTTGGGCTAAGGTTTGCATCCATATCCAGCCCACAAGTTTTTAGCCTATTTCCTAAAAACCATCCCCGTCAGTTGCTTAAAGCCCGGCCCAAGTCCGTACTTCTTTTTCATCACACATCGAATACCACGTGGTCCCCTAAAACACCAGCCTCATCCTTTTTCTCCCCCGTCGGCAGCCTTGTGTTCCATCAGCAACCACACGCCGCCCGCCGCCCGCCGCCGCCGACGCCGCTGCCAGACCTCCGGCGGTAAACCCAAGCTTAGAAGTGGAAGATTACACGACGTGATATGATTTTCATCTGATTTCGACTCGATTCAAAACATGGCCACGCCCCTCATACTTCCTCTGTGCCCCAAACCCCTCCCTAAATCCGTCCTCCAGCTACTCCATCCATCTCCGTCGAACTCCCACATCCGCTTCAGCCGCGGGATAAGATGCCGAGCCACCGGCCAGGCGCCGCAGTCCACCGCGGTCTATCAGGGCGTGTACGGCCCGTGGAAAATCGAATCGGCCGACGTCCAGGAGGTGATTCTCTACAGATTCGGCCTCGTCACCGCCGCGTCCTGCTTCGTGGCCGTGTCGTCCACGGCGTTCCTCGATTGGGAGGCGCTCGATTTAATCAGGAGAAATTCGGATCTGATCTCCGGCTTCGGGGCATGTGGTCTAGGGTTGTCTCTGTATTTGATTCACATTTATGTTACGGAGATCAAGAGAACTCTTCAGGCGCTGTGGTTGATTGGTGCAGTCGGGTCTCTCGGAGCGTACGCTGCTCTGGCCCGACCTGCCGGAAAGTATTTGGTGGATTACGTTGTGGAGAATCCGTCAGCCGTTTGGTTCGTGGGCCCGTTGTTTGCTGCTCTCACGGGCCTCGTGTTCAAAGAAGGTGCGGTTTTTGTACTCTTCAAATTTAAAACTGCATTCAAATATGTGTTGTTTGATTAAGTCGCACCATAGGTCAAGTGATCTTTTTGGGATTGAGTTGGAGCTTGAGCATAATCTGTAGCACCATAATAATGGGTTTTATGTTCGGGCTTGAGCATTTAGACCATTTTAGCTTCAAGACCAATGATAAAAATACAAATTATTTGCTCAATCCATTTTATGCTTGTGTGTGCCCCTTGTAACAGGGCTTTGCTATGGAAAGCTGGAAGCTGGTGTGCTGACATTTATAATACCATCTGTTCTGCTCGGCCACTTGGTATTTTCCCTTTGGGTCATTTCTCATTTCTACTTAGTTTTTTTTTTCTATAATCTTGGTTGGTTTTTGAGTATTTTGACAAGAAGAACCATTGTTCTAGTTACTTGTATTGAAATTTGATTTCTTAAAAGAGACTTCTTTTTCTTATTGGTGTGCAGACTGGGCTGATGGATGAGAGTACTAAACTCACTTTGTTGGGTGTGTGGATGGCACTCTTTGTTGTTTTCGCGGGAAGAAAATTTAGTCAGCCTATTAAGGTTTGTTGGTTAACTTGGTTTTGTTTTATTGCTTTTCATTTCGTGTTGCATCTTTAACATGGGACCTCTTACTTGATGGCCGTTTTTATTTTATTTTGCAGGACGATATAGGCGACAAATCTGTTTTTATCTTCAATGCCATGTCTGAGGAGGAGAAAGCTGCGTTACTTGAAAAACTTGAGCAGAATTATTCTCAGAATCTGGATTAGGTAAGGTGGGAAAGAAAAGAAAACAAAAGCCATAGATTGCCATTTTCGGTAAATAGAAAGTGCAGCATGTTTGTTGTATTTGTAACTACACATAGCCTATAATCACAATATCAATCTTGAATCTTGAGTCTACATGGATAAGTAAAACTGTTTAAGCGAAATGATGCATGGCTGCTTTTCAATTATTGCATTATTTGCATCCTGCGTATGTTATACTTTTCAAAGAACTATATAATTCGACTATTTTCGTATTGGTTCTTGGGGAGATGAAATCCATGACATACGGTGCCAAGCAATCATGTCTCAATACAATCTTGCCAATATTATGTGTTTGTCAGCAATCAATCACGAGCAGCAGTTTTTCGGACAATTGTCAGATAAATTACATTAGAGAATTAGTTATGAACATGTTAGTTTTGGATAATCATTGTATCTGATCATATTAATTAGTGATTTTTTACATAGTATATATGAATTTGGTATGGAACTGCCTAAGCCTTGCATTGCCCCTGCCCCTTGCTTAGCGAGCACCTATCTAGTTCAGAACGTTGGTATATATTTCAATTATTTATCAATTATATCTATAATTGTATGTATATTGACTTGACCATTAGAGCTAACCATGGTTCCCGTAACATGTGTTTGTGTGTGGGTGGGTGTGAAATCACGCATCAACAAAAACCTTATAAAGTACTTTTTATCTGGAGTAACTCTATTTATACGAGGTTTACACTGAGAATATGTATAGGATTCAATTCAAATGTTTTTTTCAGTTGATCTCACCAATGTAGAGCTGCATCAAGTGCTCCAAGTAGAAAATATTGATTGTTGCTTAAGTCACTTAACGACACATTATTATCTTTATCAGATTCTTCAGATACAATAGGTATCCCACAGAATCTAAATGGTTGATTGTTCACCCTCGAGATGTGAAAAGGTTCAATAGAAATTCCGAATTTGAATGTTGGTTCATTAAGTGTGTGTTTGTACATAAAATAACTCAATTCATACTCAATATACTAAAAATTTAATTCAACATAAAATAACTCAATTCATACTTAATATACTAAAAATTTAATTCAACTTTAATCCAACATCACTATCTTCAGTATTATGATAATAGGTGAATAATATCAACCTATCATTTTTACACATCCTATCAAATTTAATTCATTATTCATTCAATCACATAATTTTGATTAAACATCACTTCACATTATCTCTCTAATTCTTTTACATCAAATCAACTTTAATCATTATACTTAAATATATATATATATATATATATATATAGGATGTGGTTCAAATGAGAACCAAGTCTTAATGTGAGAATCGTGAGAACCGCTATTTTTATTGGGGCGTAGTGCTATGACTGATTGTGTTTGATGCTATTTTTAACTAGGATGAATTTATTAAAAATAGCAACACAATTTCTGGTAGCACTTGTAAAAAGAATAGCATCATCTAATATGAAAAATAACATCATACACAGTTAAAAATAGCATAAAAAACGGTTTTCCCGCCCTTTTTTTTTACCTATTTATAGTATGTTGATATTATGGTTTGATGTATATTAATTGCTCTAGAAAGTTATTTTAATTTATAATGGTAAGTTAATAATTTATATGTTAAACATATATTTAATTTACACTTTTAGAAAAAAAAAAAAAAAATTCAATTAAGACTTACATTAGATTTATCAATAAATTATGCATCTAAGTTAGTCTTATATAACTATTATATTTTAATATACAACGGCTAGAATATTTATATAGTATTTTATTGAATTTGTAACGGTTGTCAAATCATTTGTAACAATTTTTAAATAGTTTTTTATTAATTAACTTAAAAGTCAATCCATATATATATATATATATATAGGGTCTCGCTCCGGTGAGAATGATGCTTAATGCGAGAAATAAGAATAGATCGTAGTCATTAGATCGAATGATCTATTGGCTAAAAAAAAGTCAAAATTATATCTTCATTAAGGGTAATTTAGACATTACCATTACACTCATTACCACATCACCATGCCACATCATCATCCCCACACACAAAACACAAGCATACACACGCCACACACACACCCAACACACGCACACACACAGTACACATATAATCTGTTACACACACACACACTACTCACACACACACACACACACACACAACACACACAGACGCACACACTGACTGCACACACAAACACACAATGAACCCGACCATCAGCAGATGCTCGACCACCCGCCGGCGGCGGTCGCTCAAGGTCCGTCGGCCACATTATTTTCCGGTGAACGTCGTTCCATCTCTACAGCCATCGCTCCATCTCGGCCGCATCACTTTCTGGCGGAACACACAGTGAACCCGGCCACCACCAGATGCTCGACCACCCCCGGCGGCCATCGCTAAAGGTATGGCAGCCGCATCCTTTTTCCGGCGACTGGCGTTCGATCTCTACAGCCGTCGATCCATCTCGACCGCATCCCTTTCCGACGGCCGTCTCCTCCGGCGACAACAACCGGAGAATTTCTAGACGCACGACAGCGGTCGAGAGAGGTGGCACCGTGGAGGTATGTTTCACGCATGATTCCAACGACTATCCACGCGGCGGAGATAAATTGGACGATGACAGTACTTCCTGAGATGGATTGACAGAGAAAAGCCGGAGCCGGTTCGATGCCGGACGAATTGCGTCGGAGATGGCAGTGAGTGACGGGAGTTTGCAGATTAGGATTAGGGATTTTGGGGGTTTTATTTATTTATTAATTTTTTTTTTGAAAATTAGATCATTTTGAGGGGCCTATTTGTAATTTAGTAATTTTGATTATTTTCAATTTAGTTCATAGGCAAATCTGAAATTTATAAAAATATATTTAGAATGTTATCTTTTATATATATTTTTTATACACATTTATATATTATATTTTTAACCAAAAAATAATATAAAAATAATAAAATACTAAGTATACTTTTTATAAAAATAAAATATGAAATATTCCAATTATTTAGGTTAATTGATGTAAAATTATATATACTAAATCTAGTTTCAGAAAACACATAATTTGTATCAAATCATATAAAATAGGACAATTTATATATCAGCATGTTACACTTTATAAAACTACACGTTGCACTTTATAGAACAACACATTGCACTTTATACAATCCAGAATTATTGCGATAGCTTTCTCGGATTGTATAAAGTAGTGCACTTTATATATCAACACGTTACACTTTACAAAACTACACGTTGCACTTTATAAAACAACACATTGCACTTTATGTAATTCAGAATTATTGCAATAGATTCCGCCAAAATACTACACATCATAAATCTAAAAAAATTATATCTATGTACTAATTTAGTATCCATCACATCATCCGTATACGGAAAACACAAGCATACTAACGTATAAAATTGCCGCAGTGCACTTTATATATCAACACGTTGCACTTTTTAAAACATAACGTTGCACTTTATAAATCAACACATTGCACTTTATCACGACATTCCACAATTAATGTCGATAACTCCCACAAAATAC